GCTCTGACCTTGATCCTCCTCTCGAAGCCTGTTCCTCGAGCGTTTCTGCTGACGCATCCCCAGGGTTCTTAGCCTGCTGTCTGTAGCTATTTCAGATGCACAAGGAACATGGCTCGGGGACTCGGGGCTCCTGAGCGTCTGGATCTGGCAGATGGGGTCTGGCAGGGCCTGGCTCTGACCCGTCTGCTATTTGCTCCACTTCAGGCCTTCCTCCCAGGGCTGGAGATTTCTCCGCGCTCCTCCCCGCCCCTCCATCCTCACCCTCCAGACTTTCCATCCCTGCCTTCTGAGTCGGCTCCAGGATGCTATTAATAGCAAGGACAGGCTGAGGCCAGGGGCCAGTGATGGCTATATTGTTTCGGGTCAGCAAGGAGCTGACTCCCAGGGCCTTCTGGTTCCTACGATATCGGGGCCCTATCTCATTCTGGGGTCAGGGTAGTGCTGCACGGGCTTTGGGGCTACCCCCACCCGGGTTAGAAACCTGATCCACTGTAGAACGTCTGTGTGGTCTTGGACAGGTCACTTCCCTCTCTGAGCTTAAATGTAAAAGCTGTGAACCAGGGAGGATGCCAGGGCCTGCCTCACGAGGAGAATCAAATGAGATCATATAAGTAAAACACCCGGCCGAGGCCTGGTGCTCCCCAGTTGGTGGTTAGTTCTCTGCCGTACCTCTAAGCGAAAGTCATACCTGCTCTGTGGTCTGTGGCAAAGACATGCTTGTGCTGTCAGGGCTCTGGATCCTTCCTCTCTCTCTCCCAGGGGCCCAGTTGTCACTGTCGGCCACATCAGTGATGCTGAACAACAGTGTGTGGGCACCTGCTGTGTGCATGGCCCTCTGCAGGCTGTTGGGGATGCAGTGACCTGCCCATCATTTACCCCCGTGAGCCAGGGCTGCCTGGTAAATGCTTGTTGACTAAATAAGTGCCCAAAGCTCTGAATGTACCAGAAAGGACAGAATGCTGTGTCTTTGGGCCCACCGTGGACTGTCACCTGAGCCCCCCCCGGGTGCCTGCAGGTTGAGCCCAGGGACAGGCAGCAGTGGCTGCATCTGAGTGTGGCAGAGGCCCCTCCTGCCTGAGCGCTCCTTAGGTGTTAATACGTCAGGCCCACGCGAGAGGGACTGCCGTGAGCCCATTCTGCAGATGAGAAACCAGCATGGAGCGGACCAGGGATTTGCCGTCCGTCCCCTGGCTGTGAGGGGCAGAGCTGGGGGTGATCTCAGAGAAGCCAGGAGTGGTGCCGCTTACTCAGTGCATGGGAGGGCAGCCCTATCACTCCCCCTCCCGAGGATCCCCTCCTGTCTTTGTATCCCTGCGGCTGCCGGCAGCACCTTCCCGTGAGCCAGTGTACAGGGGACAGGGTTGGAGATAGTCGGGACGCTGAAGTTTGCATGGAAGCCTCAGCTTTGTTGGTAAAATGAGGCAGGTGTCCCAGCCTGACATCACGGGACCAGATGAAGAGGCCTGGGTACAAAAGGCTCTAAGCCGGGAGGGTTGGAGGGTTCCCATGACTGGTCTTCGTGATTACGTGCCCTTTGCCTGCCCAGGATGTTCAAGGCTCCAGGAGCATCATTCGAGATGGGGATCAGTGTGGAGTGACCTGGCAGCCTGTGTCCCAGGGAGTGTGGCATCAGGGGACCCCTCCATCGCTACCCACTGCCTTCACCCTAATCCGAGCCACCGTGACTGCTCTCCACGATGGTCTGCAGTAGCTGCCTTGCCTAATTCTCTGCCTGCTGGGGCCCCCTCCATGCCAGCCTGAGTGATTGATGGATTCATTCACCCGTCAATTCATTCACGATTCATTTACTTAGTAAATATTTATCAAGCAGCCACAGTCCTAAACACTGAGGATAGAGTAGGGACCAGGTAGTCACAAGTCCTGCCTTTGAGGAGTTTTTATCCTAATAGGAGAGACAAACAAGAAGCAAATCAATAATATAACCTCAGGTGGTGGTAAATCTTATACAGAGAAGTGAAGCAGGGTCAGGGGTTAGACGGGGGTGTGGGGGTGTGGAGGGGTGCTGTTTTAGACAGGGCTGGTCCAGGAAGGCCTCACTGAGGTCAGAGCTAAATGAAGTGAGGGAATGAGTCTGTGGGGGCAGGGAGAGCAGTGAGTGCCAAGGCCCTGGGGTAGGAACCATCCCATCCTGTTGGAGGAGTAGCAAGAAAAGGCCCTGTCACGAGGCACAATGAGTGCAGACTTTGGAATTTTCTCCAGGGAAAATGGAAAGACCCTGGAGGGTTAGGAGCTGGGGAGAGATATTATCTGACTGATGTTTCAAGGATTGCATCCTGGCTGTTGGGTGAAGGACGTGTAAAGGAGAAAAATAAACCAGGGCAGGGCGTAGGGGTTGTGATTTTAGGTGGGGTCGTCAGGGTAGACTTCTTAGAGGAGGAGATATTTGGGGAAGGTCTTGAAGGAGGTAAGAACGGAGTGTGCCTTGTGGATAGCTGAGTGGGAGCATGTTCCAGGCAGAGGGGACAGGCAGTGTGAAGGTCCTGACGTGCCTGCATTGTTCCCGTGTGGCTGGAGAGGGAGTGAGTAAAGGGAATCTTCATAGAAGACAAATTGACCATGTCGCCATGGCAACCCACTGCCCTCAGCCTCAAGTCTCAGCAGCTCCATGCTTGAGTCCTGTGGAACAGCTCGAAGATTCTCATACCTCCTTCCTGCTTTATGCATGCCCTACCCTCTGAAACACCATCATTCCCTCCTCTGCCCAACTCACCCACAAGAATCAACTTTAAGCCATGCTCCCTACTCCAGGAAGCCTTCCTTGATAACCCCTCCCCAGCTGTTTATATGCCTGTAACTCCTCACTCTGTGCACAGTCTCCTCCTTGCTTGCTTGTGTTGAACCCACTTCCTCGAGGCTCCTGAAGGCAGGGGTGGTTTCTCCCCTCCTCTGTGGCCCCAGGCCCTCATCAGTCCAGCATTGATGGCTGCACTTGAGACGTGAACCAGGTGTTGGTGGCGGAGGCTCGTTGCCATCCTGGGCTCTGTGGGGTGGAGAAATGGCTCCCCTGAGCCCTCAAGAGAGCTACTTTAGAGAGGGTTGCTGCTCAGCCTCCCAGGGACGGCCTGCACATGACCTAACGGCAGCTCAGTGTCACTTGAGGGAGCATGAGACTTCTTCCGGTGAGTTAGAGAAGGAAGCAAGAAATGGGCATTTTTGCAAAATAAGGTATGTTTAGACCTTAACTACCTGCCTCACAATTAAAACCATTAAAATTAAAAAAGAGAGAGACTCTACCTCTCACTTGCATCCTGCCATTGTCACACCTTCCTGGGCTTCTGTCTGCGAGCACCTTTGGATTTTGGAAGGCTCTGAGCGTGTGGAGTGTGGCACCTGGGGCCCAGCTTCGGGAGTTCCCAGCCCAGGCCAGAGCCACCCCACAGATAGTTCAGGGGAGGCCTGGAAAGCCTCAAAGAAAAATTGATTTCAAAATGACCGGCAGGAAAATTGACATTAATTTTAATGTGTAAATTTCCCAAGAGCGGGGCATGTCAGGACGAGCAGAAACCACAAGAAGGTGTCACGGGGCCCATCATGGGTTGTGGTATCTCGGAGGGCAAAACTGCTTTCTCCCTCTCAGTTTATATTTGCTCAGATTGCTTTCTTCGTTTCTAGAACACTCTGGACCTGGAGGAAACTGGTGAGGTTGTCCAGGGCAATATGAACACCCTCCCAGATGTTTCCCTGGTAAGGCCCTCTCTGGCTCTTTCCCTGAGTTTTGCCCTCCCTGGTCTGCCTGAGGCCCTGGGGAGCTGGCTCCTCAGTGAGAGCCATGGGGAGGGGACAGAGGCTCTCAGACCCGGCCCCAGGCCTGTGCACAAGGGCGTTGCTCAGCCCTCTCCAGCGGTGGGAGCCCGGACTACTCTCATCCCTTTCTGGGGATTTCAGGCAGGGAGTCAGGCTGTTTGTTTGCCAAGTAGGTGTTACTTTTGATGTGTTATCTGAATGTTATCATAACTGACACACGGAGTGTGTGAACTCCCTGAAGAGGCCATGTGACCACACCACACCGGAAGTGGAAGTTAAATGTGACCTTGGACCCCTGTGTGCACATCCACAGTCTGGGCAGCATCACTCTGATTCTGACCCAAATAACTTCTGAATGGCCTGGACTCTGGAACCAGCTGCCTGGGTTCATATCCCACCTCTGCCACTGACTGTGTGACTTCGGGCAAGTTTCTTAACCTCTCGGTGCCTTAGTTTTCCCCCCTGTAACATGGGGATAATAATTGTGTACCCGCCCCACAGTTTGTGGCCAGGGGTAAATGAGTCCATTTAAGTAAAGCATTTGGGACAGTGCCTGCTCTGATGTCAGAGCTTTCAAGTGCTGGATGTTGGCCTAGGCAGAGGGAAAATGGCAATGCCCGTCTCCGCCGCTGCTGCTCACCGTGCACCTGCTGGACGGCAGGCACCTGCAAACCCGTGACGCACGGGGCTTCTCACATCCCCACACTCCCGCTGCGCAGGTGCAGGTTCCCCACTGCCCAGAGAGGTGCTCCGAGAGGCTCTGTGCCTTGCCCAGGGCCACACAGCTCCCCGAGCCCATGTGACTGTCCCCTTCCGTCCATTCTCTCTCCCTCCAGCCCCGCGCATCTCCTGTCTCTAGGAGCCATGATAATCATCCCAAAAGAAAAGCCAAAGAAATGCTTTCTCTGTTGTTGGTTTTTTTTTTTTTTCCCATTCTCCGCATCTACCTCTAATTAAGTCTTGTTCCCTGTGACAAGGCCTGGCTGATGCCAAGAGCTTCAGTTCCCACAGGTAACGTTGCCATCCAGGGAGATGCACGCCAAGATGCCGACGCTTATCAGCTGCCGAGATGGGGGGAGCAGTTTTCCATTGGGGTGTTGCATTATTCAGAGTAGCGTGGCCAAGAGCTGATAGAGCGGGACAGCATTCCAGCCGCGGCCTGGGCCACTCGGGGCTCCCCTCCACCAGCTGCAATGGGCTCTGACTCCTTCCACTCCTGTTGGGTCTTTTGGCAGGACGATGTGAAAGCCTCCGAGGCGCTGCCGAGCTCCAAGCCGCCGCCTCCCCCACCGCCTCTGTCCCAAGGCCACAACGGGCCACCCGCCCAGCCGAGGAAGCCGGGGAAAGAGGACCTCCAGCCACCGTCCTCTGCGTCTTCCCACTCGGGCATCGTCTTCTCGGCCCCCAGGAACCGCAGCCCACCGGCGGGCACCGCGCCTGCCCCGGGGGCCGCCTCAGCACAAGACTCGCCCTTCTCCCCCATCTATGCCTCTGTGCCCCCTGCCAAGCCCGGCTCCAAGAGACCGCTGGACGCCCACCTGGCCCTGGTCAGCCAGCACCGCATCGGCCCCTTCCCGCGAGTCCAGTCGCCCCCGCACCTGAAGAGCCCCCCTGCAGAGGGTGGCTGCCTCCCGCCACCCTCCCCCTCCGGCCAGCCCGACGCGGCGGGCACAAACCAGCACTTTGTCATGGTGGAGGTGCACCAGCCCGACAGCGAGCCGGACGTGAACGAAGTGAGGGCGCTGCCCCAGGCGCGCAGTGAGTACTGGCCGCCCCCGCGGGGGCTGGGCTCGGGGCGCCCCCTGAGCCGTCCTGGGGCCATCCAGGCCGCTCCAGGCCGATCTGCCCATCCGCATAGAGTGGAAGTGTGCGCAGGGTCAGAGTGCCCCGGGAACAGGGTCCTGGGCCCGTGTGGATGTGGGTGTGAGCCCTAGCTCTGCCACTTAAGAATTGTGTGACCACGGACAAGCCATGGGATGGAGATTCGGTGACAGCCCCGCCGGGTGTCTGGGAGGGTTGGGCTCCTCTTCCAGCGCCCCCAGTCCTGGCCACCCTGCAGTCTCCATCTCCCCAGTGAGACTGGGCTCCTTGAGGACAGGGGTGGCCTCTGTGATCTCTGTTCCCAGGACCTGGCATAAGGCGAGGGCTGGGAGAAAAGCAGGTATGGAAAGCACTGTCCCTGGACCCCCAGAAGTCTCCAGATCCGGGGGGCTGCAGGGTCAGAGTGCAGGCTCGGCCTTGCAGACACCTGGGACGAGGCTGCGGCCCCAGAGTTTCCAGAGGGTGTCCAGCTGAGGAGGTGGACAGCAGTATAAGGCCGGTTTTTCCCCTCGCAGAAAGCCGGAAACCTTGGCAGGCCCTAGATCTGGCTCTAGATCGCCTCCCTCCCCTTAGCAAGTTGGGTGCATTTTGGTGGATTCTGCTGCCATCTTGTGGCTAATGGGATGTATAGGTCCAGCCGTGGCCAGGGAAGGTGGCAGGCCAGGCCAGGGGCTGTGAACTGAGTGCCTGCTGTATGCCAAACAGTGGGCACACTAGGATGCAGAGTGCAGGGTCCCTGGGCTCAGGAGCTCGGCGAGGGAAGGCAGCTGAGGGGACAGCAGGCAGGATGTGATGAGACAAACCGGAGGTATCGCCTGGCCCTGAGCCCAACACACGATAATAAAATCCGCCTGTTGTGCAGGGTTTCCTGGGCACCAGATACGGTTCTAGGGCCCCTGCCTCTGTTAGCAACTTGCCTAACCCTCTCAGCAGCCCTGTGAGGCTGGTACTGTTGTCCCCATTTTACAGATGAAAAAGCTGAGTCACGGAAAGTTAACTGTGGGGCAGTCTAGCGCAAGTCTGTTCTCTTGCAGGCTTCACTCTATACATCGTATCTAATTAAGTCCTTATGATAATGCTTCTAGATGGGCATCATTGCTCCTGTGTTGGAACAAAACCAGGGAGGCTCAGAGAAGCTATGTAACTCACCTGGCGTTGCTCGAGCTGGGCACAGAGGATTCAGACCTGACCTGCTGGTCTCTAGACTGTCTCAGATTCAGGGGCCCAGCCGTCACACACACAGCAAAGCAGCTGGGGTTTGACTGGTGAATGAGAGTATGTGCCCACCACTCAGCTCAGGCCAGTGGGGTTGTGGAGGGTACAGACCAGGCATGACAAACCTTCCCTTGTTTTATTGAGAAGCTAGAAATTTTTTTTTTCTGTGAAATACCCTAATTTGAATGTGTTGGTTCATCATGAAAATTTGACAGCATTGTGCAAGTTAAAAAAAATAATAATAACCCACATCTGTAGGCTGGGTTTGCCTCCTGACCTCTGTTTTCATCATTATGCCGTGGGCCGAGAACTGGGTGGTCAGAGCAGAAGTCTTGGCAGCCTCGGGACCAGCCCCGAGTGGAAGGGCAGATCTCAGTGGTGGAAAGGTGGTGGGGAGTCTCGCCTCCCTCCGGCCCTGTGATCCCTTCATTCCTCCCTAGTCCATGCCTGGGGAATCCCCACAGCCTTCCAGCCTGCAGCCCCATCACCTCCTCCAGGAAACCCTCCCTGACCCCAGCGGTATAAACTGCCACTCTCCTCCCGTTCCCCCTCCCAGCAGGCTCCACACTCTCCCAGCTCTCGGACAGCGGGCAGACCCTGAGCGAGGACAGCGGTGTGGACGCCGGTGAGGCAGAAGCCAGCGCCCCGGGCCGAGGCAGACAGACGGCACCCACCAAGAGTAGGAGTAGCAAGGAGCCACCTCGGGACGAGAGGACCACAGAGGGGGCTGCCAAACCGGTGAGTGAGGAGGAGGGGATGCAGAGGACTGAGGGGAGGGCAGCCCCAGGTGGGGAACAGCAGGTCCCCGAGCAGGATTCAGCTTGACAAGTGACCACCACGGGGAGGAAGTGAGCCCCCATCACCGGAAGGATGTGGGTCCCCAGAGCACACACTGGATCAGGAGTCTGGAGGCCCAGTTTAGGTCCCACTTTGGCCACTGACATTGACAAGCCAAGCACTAAAAGTTGGCCTTGAGGGTCTTCCAGCTCGGGTCTGAGTTGGCGTGCTGGCTAAGGCAGTCAGGCCTGGGTCCGAGTCCTAGTCCCACCACCAGGCAGCCTCGGGCCTTCCCCTTAACCTCCCGAGCCTCGGGGGTTATTGTAGCAATCAGAGAGCTGGGAACACCAGTTCTTAGCTCAGTGCTCGCATTCTGGCGCTCCCAGCCCGGGGCTGGAGTCTGAGCCCTTTTGACCCAGTGGCATGTCCTGGCCAGCCCAGCCCCCTCCCCCCGCCCCCAGCCAGGCCTGTCCACTGAGAAGGCCTCAGGCACTGGTCTCCTTGCTCACACGCGCAGCCTGGACTCCTGGAGCCCACGTCCACCCTGGTCCGCGTGAAGAAAAGCGCGGCCACCCTGGGCATTGCCATCGAGGGTGGTGCCAACACTCGCCAGCCCCTGCCTCGGATCGTCACGATTCAGGTACCTCCGTGGGCCCCACTCGGCCATCTCTCCCTACCCCTGAGGGCCCCTCTCTCAGCATCCCAGGGTTCTGCCACAGACGCCCACCCCCCCCCCCCCCCCCGGGGATGACCCGGCCGCCAAAGGCAGACCCAGGCCCTTTGCCCTCCCTGAGCCTGTTTCCCTCGTCAGGGCAGCGGACACCCAGATTGTAGCCTGCTTGGCGGTGTTGGGCCTGACCTGGTGGGTGTTTAAGGCAGGCCAGCCTCGCCCTCAGCTGCCCCGAGTGCCCCTGCCCTGTGTCTCGCCCCTGCAGCGAGGTGGTTCAGCCCACAACTGTGGGCAGCTCAAGGTGGGCCACGTGATCCTGGAAGTGAACGGGCGGACACTTCGGGGCAAGGAGCATCGGGAGGCGGCGCGCGTCATCGCGGAGGCCTTCAAGACCAAGGAGCGAGACTACGTCGACTTTCTGGTCACCGAGTTCAATGTGATGCTCTAGAGGCGGAGGCCCGGAGGCCTCCCACTGTTGCCCAGTCCCCGGCCCCGGCCCCTCCTCCCTCCTGGCACTGTTAAGCTCCTTGAAGGCCCGAGCTGCATAGCCAGGGAGCAAGGAGACGTCCCCCCACTCTTTCCCGGCCCACTGGCCCGGAACCAGGAGAAGAAAGCCGGGGGAGGCAAACAGAAGGTCAGGTCGGGATCCGGTGCCATGCGTGGGGTACACGGTAGGCGCTCAGTATAAGCAGTGGGTGTCAGGAAGGAGAGAAAGTCCACCTGAGGCCTGCCAGGGCCTGTTCCCCTGGGTTGGGGAGGGGCACTGGTCCCCGTTCCCCCGCCAGCTAGGACCTGGCCCATCCTCCAGATGTCTGAGCCTTTATGTGGAGTGAGGCCACGCGAGAATTCGTGGACACGGCCCCCAGCCCAGGGGGCATCTCGAAGGACCTATAGTGCCACAAATAAGCATCAAGCACCCCCCCCCATTCACACCCCCATTCTTCCTGGCTCCTCATCCCCCCATAGTATTTATTATTTATTTCCCTCTCCTCACCCCTGGGGACCCCAAGACCCCAGCTTCCCACCCCGTGCCCAGCCTAACCCAGAGGCCTTGCAGGGGACGAGTGATGTCAGTGTATTTATATACAGAGCTTATGTCTTTAATTTTTCAATAAAGAAACCTGAACAAGGTTAGGGTCCAGCGTGCTGTGTGGCCTGCCTTTGTGGCTGGGGTTTTGATTGCTCCACCTGAGGAGGGGGGTTAGAACAGAGCAACACACACCACCGGCCTCTCCCCCTGCCCCCCACGGCTCCGTGTGGGACACACAGCAGGTATGTGGGGGCACCTGAGCCACACCCACATCTTGGAGCACCTTACTTGAAGGTCGTTCACAGAAAATACTTTTAAATTAAAACACACAGGTGTGTCGTGGGACCGAATGCACAATGTGCAGGGAGGTTTTCAGACACAGGGAGGTGGCCTGCCTCAGGGGGGATCCCAGAATCGGACTCTGTGATGAGTCACCGTATGCAGGTGATTCATGAAGGCAACGCTTTAGTTAGACCCGTAGGGAGTGGAGAAATCCGGATGGGGAAAGGGAGGAAGCCAAGCAGGGGGGGATTTCAGGGCAAGTCCCTGGAGGGTGGCTGCAACCTGATCCCACAGGGGGCTCTGGAGTCTAATTGAGCCCAGAGTCATCCCCACTCAGGGCAAGGGGACAGGGCTTTCGTGCTGTCAATCTTTGGATAAGGCCTGGGGAGGAGAAGGGGGAGAGAGGCAGTAAATTCCCAATCACATTCCCATTCTTCACCTGT